TGTTCTCGGTCGGACCAAAGGTGCACACCACCGAGTCTGAAGCAGTATCCCATGCTGTGGCAGTGAGAGGTAGCTCGCTCTCAATTTGCGTCTCAGCGAGACGGACGTTTCTCAAATTGCGCATCTTCCAGGAACGGGTAACTTTTTTTATGCTTCTTTTTTTACCCCGCCATGAAGCGATCAAAGCAGTAAATGTAGGGAATTCGAACGATAGGAAGGAAAATTAAATTCCAGAGACCAGCCTTACTTCCCTGTTGACTGTAACTGTCTCGTTGCTTGGGGGTGGTTGTGTTCGTGAGGACTGATATATGAATCGCGCCGACCCAGAGATTTTTTTGGTTTTCCACAGCGGCTCAGCCAATGACTTCATCCATATTTCAACGTCCTTTTAAGCTACGCATTTCAACATCTACACAATTACAATCGGGTTGGTGACGGGCGGAACCAATTTTCGATAATAATCTCTAGCTTTATACATGATCTCCGCCTCCGCTTCAACCCCGATCCAAGTTTTCGACCACCTTGTCACCCAGACTGTTATCGCATGAAAAATACAGTGTGAAGGGCAATTTATTTGGTCTTGTAGGTTTGCCAGACTGGTAGAAAAAGATGTTAGAGTATACTCAAGGTGTGGGATCGTAGAGAGGGGGTATAACTCACCAGCAATGGCGAAGGGAGTACCGAATCCGGTAACTAGATGATGCCCGGGTTAGTCATGGCTCTGCACATGTCCATTGGAGGTCACTAACTCATGAAAGCCCAGTAGCGCCAGAAGAAGTGCTTAGTGAGAGGGTTGAAGGGGATGTTGGTGCGAGGACCCTCGGCGTAGTGGTAGGGGCTGCCGAGCTGGGTGCGAGTGGTGGAGAAACCACGACGGGCAGCGAAGGAGGTGGCCATTCTGGCCCGGATAGCGGAGGAGTACATCTGAGATCAAAATGTTAGCAAGAGCAATGGTTTGGTTTCCAGTGAGAGGTACTAACCTTGAGTAACGAAGAGGAGAGAGTGGACGATCGGAAAGACACGGACGAAGCCAAAGTGAACATCGCGAGGTGCGGAATGGGATGATCTTGAATCACGTGGTTTACAATACTTCGAAATCCGGTTTAGCGTCCTTTGCTCGAGATCACCCCCACCGCTTGCCCCATGTGGATAGAACTTTTAAATTTCTCAACCAAAAAAAGTCCAGACCGGTTACCTACGCCGCTCATTCTCCTCCTGTGGTTGATCACCAATCGCAACCGCTGGAGATGGATGAGCTCTTTGACGTCTTTGAGGACCAGCCTCAGGCGGTTAAACCGTCAGAAGGTGTTCCCAAGCGCTTGAAGAAGGATAAGAACAAAAAACGACCGCTGAATGGAGATGTGAAGAAAACTGCAGATATCCAAACCGAACGGAAGGATGATGTTGCGATGACTGATGCACCTGCTGCGGACGTCGACTCAGCAGACGCCGAAGCCCCCGCGACTCCGTCCGAACCAGAGCAACCCGAGACGAAGCGGCCGCGATTGGATCAGGAACCCGAGCCAGTAGTCGCCGATTCTTTCGAAACCGAGCAAGAGCGTGAAATTGCAGCTTATGGAGGACTTTCAGGCGCCACAGACACTTCTGCAGTTGTTGTGTCTCATCAAGTGCGCCACCAAGTCGCAATCCCACCGAACTACCCTTATGTGCCTATCTCCCAGCACAAGCCTCCGGCGAACCCCGCAAAGACATGGCCCTTCACACTGGATCCTTTCCAGCAGGTTGCAGTGTCTTCAATCCAGCGTGAGGAGAGTGTGCTGGTTTCAGCTCATACTAGTGCCGGAAAGACCGTGGTGGCAGAATACGCGATTGCGCAAAGTTTGAAACAAAACCAGCGAGTAATCTACACCAGTCCAATCAAAGCGCTGAGCAATCAGAAGTATCGTGAATTTGCTGCTGAGTTCGGTGATGTCGGTCTGATGACTGGTGATGTGACCATCAACCCCACTGCTACCTGCCTTGTTATGACCACAGAGATTCTTCGCTCCATGTTGTACCGTGGCTCTGAGATTATGCGTGAAGTTCAGTGGGTAGTCTTTGATGAAATTCACTACATGCGAGATGTGAATCGTGGTGTTGTTTGGGAGGAAACTATCATTCTGTTGCCCGATAAGGTCCGCTATGTTTTCCTGTCCGCCACCATCCCGAACGCCATGCAATTCGCCGAATGGATCGTCAAGATGCATAACCAGCCCTGTCACGTTGTCTACACCAACTATCGTCCGACCCCACTCCAGAATTACTTCTTCCCCGCTGGTGGAGAGGGTATCCATCTTGTTGTGGATGAAAAAGGAGTCTTCCGCGAGGAGAACTTCCAGAAAGCAATGAGCGCCATTGCTGACAAGAAAGGCGACGACCCGGCCGACGCGTTGGCCAAGCGCAAGGGTAAGGGCAAGGACAAGCAAATCAACAAGGGTGGAAATAAGGGCCCATCGGATATCTTCAAGATTGTCAGGATGATCATGCTCAAGAACTACAACCCCGTCATTGTCTTCAGCTTCAGCAAGCGAGAGTGTGAAGCAGGTGCTTTGCAGATGAGCAAACTGACTTTCAACGATGATTCTGAGAAGAACATGGTATCCAAGGTTTTCGAAAGTGCGATCGAAATGTTGTCTCCAGAGGATCGCCAATTACCACAAATCCAAAACATTCTTCCGCTTTTGCAGCAAGGTATCGGTGTCCATCACTCAGGCTTGCTGCCGATTCTTAAGGAAACCATTGAGATTCTGTTCCAGGAGGGTCTCATCAAAGTCTTGTTTGCGACTGAGACTTTCTCCATTGGTCTCAACATGCCTGCGAAGACTGTGGTGTTCACCAGTGTCCGCAAGTTCGATGGAACTAGCCAGCGTTGGGTTACCCCGTCTGAATTCATCCAGATGTCTGGTCGTGCTGGTCGTCGAGGTCTCGATGACCGAGGTATTGTGATCATGATGGTCGGAGAGGAGATGGACCCAGCGGTCGCGAAGGAGATCGTGCGCGGTGAACAGGACCGACTCAATTCCGCATTCCACCTTGGCTACAATATGATTCTCAATCTAATGCGTGTGGAGGGTATCTCGCCCGAATACATGCTCGAACGATGCTTCAAGCAGTTCCAGAACACTGGAAGCGTTTCGGGCTTGGAGAAGGAGCTCGAGGGTCTTGAGGAGAAGCGGGCCAATATGATTATCTCAGACGAGGGTACCATCCGTGAATACTACGACCTACGGAAACAACTGGACGCATTTGCCGAAGATGTTCAGCATGTCATTACGCACCCGAACTACTCTTTGACTTTTATTCACCCTGGACGATTGATCCACGTTAAGTACAAGGATGCTGATTTCGGTTGGGGCGTGGTGATCAACCAAAAGAAGCGTAAGCAGGCGAGCAATGACACCGAGAAAGTGACTCCTCACCAATCTCACATTGTTGATGTCTTGATGAGGACAACAGAAGGGTCATCCATTGGCACCAAGACTTTCCAAGATCTTCCGCCAGGTGTTCACCCCGCAAAGGAAGGTGAACCTTCTCGCAGTGAGGTCGTTCCCATTGTGCTGAGCTGCATCACGGAAATATCTCACATTCGCATCATGCTTCCAAAGGACATCACGTCGCCCGGCTCTCGAAATGATGTTATGAAGTCTGTTGGCGAAGTTAAGAGGCGTTTCCCAGACGGTGTTCCGCTACTTGATCCGATTGAGAACATGCAGATCAAAGATGATAGCTTCAAGAAGCTGCTACGGGTAAGAAGAGATTCCGTTCCTCTAACACATGATTCACACTGCTAACCATATATAGAAAATCGAGGTTCTTGAGTCTCGCCTCCTGAGTAATCCTTTGCACAATTCGCCCCGGTTGACTGAATTGTACGAGCAATATGCCGAGAAAGTGGACCTGACTGCCAAGATCAAGGCGATCAAGAAGCAGATTACAGAAGCTATGTCGATCTTGCAGCTTGATGAGCTAAAGTGTCGTAAGCGTGTGCTCCGTCGTTTCGGATTTATCAACGAAGCCGAAGTCGTGCAGTTGAAGGCTCGGGTTGCTTGTGAGATTAGCACAGGTGATGAGCTGATGCTGAGTGAGTTGCTGTTTAATGGTTTCTTCAACAACCTGACTGCTGAGCAAATTGCTTCCGTCATGAGTTGTTTCGTATTTGAAGAAAAGGTCAAGGAAGCCCCTACTTTAGCCAAGGATGAGTTGGCGAAGCCACTTAAGGAGATCCAAGCACAGGCCCGCATCATTGCCAAGGTTTCACAGGAGTCTAAGATGGCCGTGAATGAGGACGAGTACGTTCAGAGCTTCCACTGGGAGCTGATGGAGGTGATCTACGAGTGGACTCAGGGCAAGTCTTTTGCAGATATCTGGTAAGCATTCCCCGCCCCATTATTCTCGCAGTGTACTAACCATCCCAGCAAAATGACCGATGTCTATGAGGGTAGCTTAATCCGTGTCTTCCGCCGGTTGGAAGAGTGTTTGCGGCAGATGGCCCAAGCTGCCAAGGTGATGGGCAGCGAGGACCTGGAGAGCAAGTTCGAGGAGGCCCTAGGCAAGGTCCGCCGCGATATTGTTGCTGCCCAGTCCCTGTACTTGTAGATACGATATCCCTTTTATGATCGCCGGAGTCCAAAGAATATGATTACCCACAATTTTTCCTTTTTTCCATATTACGTAGAACGTAGTAGATGATGCGGGTATTCATATAGTCTTGCCCGAAAGCAGTGAAGAAGTCTAAATCTGACACATTTGATTGAAACCAAGGGAAAGACAGAAGACATTTGATGTTTTATAAAGACCATTATAGAAATAAAAGATAAAAATCCTTTCTAATCCATGTCAAACCTCCTTTTGAGGGCACAGATCTCTTAAAAGCTGCGCAAAGGGAGTGCGTTGCCACCTGCAACGCCTACTTTTTCTCCACCGCTACCTTTCTCTACCCTTCTCTCCCCACTTCACAACCCTTTTATCCTCTTCTTCTTTAAGGTTGCATTATTGCTGTTCTTTTTTTTTCTCACTCTTTTGGATATCCGAGTCCTCTGGACTATTATATTTCTTCTTCGCCATCCGGCTGTCACCATGAACAGCTTGGTGGCTACACCTCCTGTTCCGCCTCACTTCTACGAGAACTCCCGATTCTCTCCCTCCCGTATGAGTAAGATATCCCTTCCCCGGACATTGAAAGAAATAATCTGTGCTCTCTGTCCTGAGGTGGTTCTCTTTGATGCATTTGTATACTGACAAATCCAGTGTCTACACCCTCGTCGTCGTATGCCAGCCGTAAACGGAAAGCCGACGACGACAACGACCATGATGGACGCATGTCTGCTTCGCCCACAAACTCTCCCGCCTTCACTCCTCGACAACTCCCTCACAGCTACCGCAACATCAAACGTTCCCGACCGAACGTTTCAGGCCGACCTCTATCTCTGCCCCGTCTGCTAGAGACCCTCGATACAGATGCCTTGCGGACGGTTGTACGGACCATGTGCGAGCGTCACCCTCAACTCGCTGACGAGGTTGTGCACACATCCCCACGTCCGAATGTCTCCTCAACCCTACAAGTCCTTCGAAACTATCAGGCTGCCCTTCAGTCCTCATTCCCGTTGGGTGGCAACACCGAATCGGATTATGCCTACAACCGAGTTCGACAGCCGCTCACCAACCTTCTTGATGCCCTGAGCGACTTCACACCCAACTTCCTTCCTCCAAATGAAACCCAAGCGTCCACATCCTTGAGCTACCTAGATGGGGCAACCGACATCATTCATGCCTTGCCTCGGTGGAGCACGCCACAAAACAACATCGAACGAGACTCAGCCTACGACGAGATGTGCAAGGCATGGGTTCTGGTCATCCGGGAAGCGGCAAAAAGAGGTGGCGGCATCCAGTTACAGTACGGAGGTTGGGATCAGAAGCTGGCCAAGCACAACCAAACCTCTGGAGGAAAGCTACAGGGAGCTGTCAATGAACTCGGCTTCAGCTTGGGATGGATGAGTGGATCCGATACACCATCCCACGCAGCCAACAACGACATGGGCTCCATACGGGATCAACTCTTCTCCGGAACTTACGGGCTGGGAACCCCAGTCAAGGTCGGACCATGGTGATAACTCACGCCACTCCGATTTCCTCACGAAAGACCACCATTAAATTTACACCGCTCTTGCGTGTCGGCCTCACGTCCCCCCATACATGCCGGCTCTCATTTGAGCTTGACTGACGGTCCATACCCCTTTGACCGCACAATTTTCGACGTATGTCACGATCACGATACCTGCTGCATGACCCTAGAATCGACATGGTCAGGCGTTATAGTACTCAAGGCGGATAACCTACAGCTTTTCTTTTCCTTTTTTTTGTCTTCTTTTTTCGGCTGGAGCTTTGCAAGATGAATGCTGTTATAGCTTGTTTGATTTCAAATCTTTCAATGAATTCAGACTCAGTATCCTTTTCTTTCGTCCTTGCTTTGCTCATTTGTTGTATTCAGATTTACATGACCCTTCCTTTCCTCTTTCCTTTCATCTGTGTATTTCATTCCAACTCTGATACTCTCATTTTATATCAACTGGCGCCCTGGTGTCGCATACATTTCCCTCTTTCATTCATGTCTCATTGTTTTTATCCTCTTCTTGTTCTTCTTCTCTTTTGCTGTTGTGAGTTGTCTTTGCCTGTTTCACTCGGTCTCATCTTTCTATTGCTTGTGCCATTTTATCCCTCGCATATTCCAATGATGCGTGTCAGAGTGACAATTTCCATATTAGGCCATCAAACCTAATCCTCGTGCTTCTCAGCTTTGGAAAATTTGGCGGAGATTTGAACCTATTCTATTCATTAGAAGAGAACCACTCGCCACCCAACTCAGTCTACAACATACGTTCTGATCCTGTCATATCGCGCAACATATTTTCGATACGTTGCTGATTGATAGGGCCCCTTAGTCACGCTAGCTTGTTTCATTGGAATCTTATCAAATTTGTTAGAGCTTTTAGTCCTCAAGTAGAAAAAGGTAGAAACTTGGATGTTTCTCTATTCTTTTAGGGATTTTGCTTAGCCACATATAGCCAACTTCATAGATATTCTGATCAACAAAGCTAATAAACAAGTACAAGACGAGTAAGCAGACAAAAAAAAAATTGTTTACAGACAACCACGCCCAACCAAGAACATCACTCAATACAATTCATAATTCATATCACCGCCCGCTTCATCAAACGAAACAACCACCCAGCATCCTCCCACCCACCCTGACTCCCAGGCTTCTCAATAGAAGCAGCACTACCGGTAGAACCCTCCCGATCTGACAACCCCCCATCCCCAACCGACCCAAGCGAAAGCGTATCATCATCCTGCCCATCCACCAAAACAGGTTCCTCAAATGTAACAGTAGTGGTAGTATCCGCCGTACCAATACGCGAAGCATCCACCGCAGCAGTCGTCGCAGCCGGAACACTTACAGGCCACTCGTCGACCCCGAAAAGCGTCCACTCAACTAGCCGATCAATCCAAGAGCCGAGCCCGAACCCGCGCTCACGCGTCAGCTGCTGCAGATCCGCTTCATCGAAGTCATCCGGCGTCTCGTCAGAGTCACACGAATACTCGGACGAAGTCTCATCTTCGTCTGAGCCAGCACGGTCCCAGTACACAGAGTCTTCATCGGGGAATCGGTGTTGTAGCGATTCCATCTCTGCGCGGATATGCGCGTCTACGAAGTCTGGTACTAGAGGACTATGCCCGCGCACTTCGGGGCTCGCTGTGCGTGTCACTGTGTCTGTGTCTGTACCTGACTGTATGTATACTCCCCTCTACTGGCGTTGAGGTAGATGATGCAGCCGGGAGGGTGGTCATGGTTAGATGGACTCTGCTGCCACGCCGGCTGACGCGTCTACTACCGGCACGGGAGAGAGCGCCGGTTCCTGGTGTTGAAGCGCCAGAGCGGGAAATTCGTGACGAGGCACCTGATTTGGTGCGGTGGTGGTGGCGGTTAGTGGATGTTTCGTCGAAGGGCGTATCTGGGACGAGACTCGTTGATGTCTCGCGCTTGGAGAGCCAGCTTTGGCCTTTTTCCTCGCGGGTTGAGGAGGCTAGGGCGATTCCTGCGCGGAGCATCCATTCTGCGTCGTATTTGGATTTCGGCGTGTTGTCTGGGAGAGGGCGTCGCCCTTGCGAATACGAGATGTCGGTCTGTGTGTTGTGTGTGTTTGGGACGTGGTGCAGGGCATGGCCTAGGCCCCTGCTGTGTAGGTTCGTGTCGCTTAAGGGTCCTACCCTGGTAGAGCTCTTGCTGCGCGTGTGGCGGCTTCGTGAGTTGCTGCGTGAGTGCGAGAGGATCGGCGGCGTGCTTGGGACTGAGACACTGGATAGATAGGATGATGCTGGGGGCGTGCGGGTACCGCTAGCTGGAGATTCATGGTCGCGGTTGTTGAAGTATTCTGTTGGATCTGTGTCGTCGTCAATGGGAAATCGTGGGTTCAAGGGTGCTAAAGATGTGTGGCGGAGGGACGGGTATGAGCGACGGGACTGGAAGCTTCCCGAGGTGGTGAACTATATATGCCATGTTAAATGTCCGGTTCATGTTTTCGTCCAGATAGCAATCTAGTATTTACCTCCATAATAGATTTTCCAGCTGCAGCTGAAACCTCAAGTAGAATTAGAGACGAAGAGGTCGGGATGCTGGAAATGCGGAGTTGATGCACGTGCGGTTGACATGTGAAAGTGGCCGAGCGGCCCCCGGCAATGTTGAAGAAGGTTATTTTGCCCGAGGGTAGAAATATAATTAATGTATAGAGATAGAGATAGATTGTGTGGAATAGTACGGAATGTCAATAAGCAGAATGGGATGCCCAGTGGAATAACCGAAAGATGACGGATCTATAGAAATCGTCCAGTTGTACAGTTAAATCATACGATGATACCATTATGGCATGACGAGTGCTTGTTTATTAGTGAAATTGAGTTTATTGTATAGAAATATAGAGATCTATTCCTTTGCATAAAACAGCTATTAAAATGTCTATACGAGCATGTCAATATATATCATAACCGCTCGTGAATAGTATTATGAAGTCTATGCACAACACCAAAATAGGGTAAGTGTTGAAAGCCCCCAATTTCATCTTAATTGCTGAGAATTGACTTGGGATTCTTAACACGCTTACAGGCGTGAACCTTTGAAGTCCAAATATCCCTGGCCCTTGACCTTCAAGTCTTCTAGAACATTATACTCCATAATCCACTTCATACGCTCCCTCAATGCATCCGGGTTGAAGTTGTCGGGCATCTGGCTGAGAGAGTCTGAGCTAGCCAGCTTGCCGGCTTCGTAGCTGGTCCTTGTGACACGGTCTGTCCGGGGCTTGCGCAGGTCCTGGTAGAACTTGAATGCAGCCTCCAGGTCATCTGTCTTCCAGTGTCTAAGGACCGTTGCAAGGGAAATGCCGGATTCAATTGCCATACATGTTCCCTGGCCTATAGCGTACTGTTAGTATATGTCCCGCGATAGGACTAAACATAGATAGGATGCAACATACCTTGATGAGGAAGAGTCGAGTGGGCCGAGTCACCAAGCAGAATGATACCAGCATCCTTCTGTCCACTCTTCATCTCATACCACTTTTCGATAGGGTCACGCACATACAGGGCCTGTTTGAGCATCTTGCCGTCCTCGGAGCTCTTGCGCAGACCAGCAATGATATGTTGCACCTCTGGACACCAGTCACGGACGTGCCCCTGGAGAATATCAATATCCGAGCGCGACATCCAACTCTCAGAGTCCCATGTCTCAAGTGACTCAGACATAAAACCAATCACACCAGCACGATCGGTCCCCGTCTCCTGGTTACCAATAGGCAAGATCAGGAGATGGCGCTTGGGTCCACGGAAGTTCACAGTCTTGCGCAATAGTGCCGCTGTCTCAGTGGGTAGGTCTTTGTAATCGACGAATCCACGATAAACAACCTGACCAGAGTAGTTGGGGTCGTCTCCCAGGCCCATCTCCCGGCGCACATTCGACTTGATACCATCACAGCCGACTACAATATCTGCCTCGGCGATACTGCCATCCTGGAAATGAAGGGTATACGGTGCAGCACCAGCGGCAGTGTTGCGGTCGATGGATGCCAGGTGCTTGCCTAAGTTCAGGCTTGACTCCGGCACGCGCTCCTTCAGTGAGTCCAGTAGGTGAGCGCGGTGCAGCAGGCGCGCGTGAGGCTGCGAGAATTCACCAATGTGACCAACATAGTCTCCGGTCTTGTAGTCGTGGTATTCCATGTAACAGGGCAGCTTGCCAGAGGACTTGCGCGTCATGCTCTCTTGCAGACCGAAGGCGTCCAGGATGCGGTTTGCGTTCGAGGTGATGTTCACACCGGCACCGACTTCACCAAACTTTGCAGCTTGTTCGTATAGTTGCACGTTATTCAGGCCGGCGTACAGTGCGGCATTGAGGAAGGCCATGCCTCCTAGGCCGCCGCCGATGATTACGACTCGTTTGTCTTCGAAACCCATTGTGTGCGTAGGGGGTAATTTGATAATGGAATGTTGAGGGATTCTGAGATATTAAAAACTGGAATAGAATTGGGTGAATGATTATCGATATTCCAGGTTCTCAAGCAAGCTTTATGTATATCCGCTCGGATTTCCCCACCCCCAAAGGATTACCCGATGAACCGTCTTGGAGATCCCCTTCGGAGCATGCAGTAAATGTGGGATGACAGATGATCCCGAGATTCTACCTTGGATTTCCCGAGTACCCACGGGCTATAGTGCGAAATGCCATGTTTTCCGAATCTCGAGCATGAACTGGGAGATATGCAGTTTTGGGGACTTTTGATAGTCGTCATATTCTGTTTTATATCGCTCACAGTGATGGCGAATTCGGTAATGCGAAGCAACTCCCGAAGTCGAACGTAGATATTGTGCCTATGTATTTCTTGATAAAGTTCTGGGGATTTCAAATAGCTGATAACTAGCAAGTGTATTGTACAATTTAGTCAACCCGGATGATCTGCATCAGAATATAATAGAGGGTCATGTTTCAGATTCGGAAGCCCCCGCCATTTTGGGGGAGCCACATCCGAAAGCCCCAAAGCTGTCGGAGCGCCTTTTGATTGGTTCGCTGGCACCGGAGAACCCTCGGCATTCCAAAATTAGCTGACTCCGCAATATCAAATCATCGTGCCTGTCATTGGCCGGGTAAAGGTATTCGGCATTTCTATATAAACCCCGTAATTAACCGGTTTTTACTCCACAATTTTTCCCTTGTTCACAACGAAGCCCTCCAACGCGGAAATAGCCGCCCACAAACGATTTTCGGCTTCAGGGAAGACCAGAGAGCGCGGGCTGTAGAAGACCTCGTCATCCACTTCCTCGGGGTGGCGGGGCAGGCAGTGCATGAACTTCCAGCCCTCCTTAGCGCCACCGCGCTTAGCTAAATCAGCAGTGATCTGGAAGCCTTCGAAGGCCTTCATGCGCTTCTTGGACTCCTCCTCCTGGCCCATGGATACCCAGGTATCCGTAACCAGGATGTCGGCGTTCTTCACGGCCTCCTCGGGAACGTTGGTTTGGGTGAGCTTGCCAGCCTTGGCGAGACCCTCGCCAGCACGCTGAATGATTTCAATCATGTGCGCAGGGATTTCGTAGCCCTTAGGAGTAGCAACAGCCACGTCCACACCCATCTTAGTAGCACCAATGGCGAGATCGAACAGAACGTTGTTCGCATCACCAATCCAAGCGATCTTAAGACCCTCAAGGCCCAGGCTAGAGAGCTTGTGCGCCTGAACAGGGAAAGACTCGTAGATAGTCAAGAAGTCGGCGATGATCTGGAGTGGGTGGAAGGAGTCACACAGAGCATTGATCACAGGCACGGTGGAGTGCTGTGCCAGACCCGCGACGTCCTCGTGCTTGGCGACACGCGCAAAAATGCACGAAACCATGGACGAAATCACAACGGAGGTATCGTATAGGGACTCGTTGACACCGAGCTGGATGTCGTCCTTTCCGAGGAACATGGGGTGGCCGCCCATCTGAACGGCGGCGGCTTCGGTGGATACACGGGTGCGAGTGCTGCGCTTGTTGAACATCATGGCCACGGTCTTTCCGGAGAGTGATCCCAAAAGGCTTTCCGGGATAGCTCCAGACTTGATAGCACGCTTGTGCGAGGCAGCATTGCGGACCAGTGTGGCGAATTCCGTAGGGGTCAGGTCTGCAATGGAGAGAAGGTGACGGGGGGCGAAAGGAGAGGTGGGAGGTAGAGTCGGTGTCTGGTGGGCAAATCGTCGGATTCCATTAGCCTGGAGTGTTCGACGCAAAGATGAGGTGGAGCCGGCCAATTGGTTTACACTTTGGGCACCATAGCGGGCGGCAGCTGTGAGACCACTAGCCATGATGAGCTGGAGGTTATTGGTAAGGAATTGGAGTATTGTAGGAAAAGGAAAGGGAAAAAAAAGGAACGGGGGAGCCCTAGAAGTGAAGAAACCTTAGATGAGTGACTCAATAAATTAGTCTGGTGGATGTGCGAGGGTACTGATGCCTTGTCGCCCAATAATTCAGGTTCCAAGGTGTCTATTCTCCACAGTTCCAAGGTTCCGTTATCATCGGCTGATCGTCATCGAGGCCCTTACGTCTTGCCCCTTGCGTCTTGCCTCTCTCCCTCTCCCTCTTCCTCTATCTTTCTCTGTGTTGTGTGCTTTGGACTCTCCTTTTCATATACATGCTATCAGCTCCAGAGACTACAACTTACTGTGATTTATCCATACGTTTAGGGCCACGATGGCTGACGAGGCAGACCAGCCTCTGCTAGATGCGCAGTTTGGCTCCGAGAGAGCATCCGACGACCAGCCCAGGCCACCATATCAATTATCAACAGCCTCATCACATTATTCGCACCGCTCTGAACATAAATCGGAGGGTAAAACAGAGCAAACAATATCGCGATCTCACTCAGGTTGGGCATCGGATACGGCGACCCAGGTTCTGTTAGATGAGCAGTCCAGCCTTACTGAACGGTCTCCGGCAGGAGCATCCGACGACCGGCCCAGGCTATCATATCAATTATCAACAGACTTATCACATGATTTGCGCCGCTCTGAACATAAATCGAAGAGTAAAACAGAGCAAACAATATCGCGATCTCATTCAGGTTGGGCATCGGATACGGCGACCCAGGTTCTGTTGGATGAGCAGTCCAGCCTTACTGAACAGTCTCCGGAGAGAGCATCCGTTGACCAGGCTAGGCCGTCATATGAATTGTCATCAGAATCGACACCTTTATTACACCGCCGTGAAGATGGGTTGACCTACGGGACCGAGCAAGGATTGTCGCGATCATCTTCATTCGTATCACAGAAACCTCCCGGGAATGGTGTCATCAAAAAGCGGAACCGTGTACCGTGGCCGACGGTTATATCTCTCTCTATTTTAACGCTGAGTGTTTTGGCGATACTGGTACTTGCCTTTGCTGCTCCGGCGGCGGTTAAAGAATATGCGCAAGAAGCCGCTGTCTTCAAACCGACGGCAGTGTCAATTGATTCTACAACATCCAACGGCATTCGAGCTCGGATTCAGGGCGATTTCGTGATGGACTCGGGCCGCGTGAAGAATAAGTCGGTTCGAGGCATTG